TTTAATTAAAATTGTATGCATTTTGTTTTAGTTAAAGGGTATGGATGTTAAATTGCAGTCGGCTGTTTAGTGTTTTCGAGGGCATCTGCTAGTCGGAGAGAGGCTCTTTTCCAATTAGGGATCTGACATTTCAAGCGCATATCTTTTAGTCATAGCCAAATTTGAAAACATGCTTAGCTGATTCTAGCAGAGGTTTTGTATTCTTTTTCACTGGAACTGGGGTGTTTCAAGCACTGTGTGCTGCTCGATCTTGTCACATGGGCTTTTCTGTGTTTTTGAGAACAATAAATTTTACTCAAAGTATCTTCATTGTCATAGAAAAATATATAAATATTTGAAATATTTCTTCGTTTGTTCGTGATAGCTTTTACAACTCTTAAATTTAGTGCATAGAAACCAGGCGATTTATTTTCATTCTATTACATAAGAGACATTTTAATTATTGGCATTCTTTTTTTTCAAAATTAACGCTTGCAAAAAACCTGGACCTCAATTAAAGGACAGTAAGAGAAATAAAATACAAAGGGCTTCCATAGAAAAAGAAAATTGTAAAGAAACGGGGGTAAAATAAAGGAGCATCCTTCAAAATAAAGCACGGATGGTCACTTATTGCTATTTACTACTATACATACCAACGTGATTACGAAAGTATGCAAATAAGGATGTATCTGTCAGGTCTATTTTTGAAAAGTTATTAATTTTATTTTATTTATTTATGAGAGGTTTGTGTTATTTTTAGTCTACGAAAAAAATATTGTCAGCATCACCTTCGTCATCATCATCATTATCTCATTTCTAAAATTTTACTTCATCCTCATGCTAATAATACCCAGTGGGAAAATGTAATGTAAAGTAATCGAAAAAATAATCAGTAAAACATTAGAACGCTGATTACATAGTTAGCAGTAATATTATCGAGAACTCTTAAGAAATACATTATATTATTTATCACGCATGTAGTGCATTGCTACTTTTCCGACTGGGATCCACTCGCCGCTAGTAATAATAAAGCTTTAAGGTAGAAAACAAATTTCTAACCCCACGGAAAGACGTAAAATCTGTCCATAATTTGATGAGTAAGCGCCTAAACCGCCGTGGTCGAGCGGTTAGAGGTGCGCCCTTGCACTCGGTAGGTGCATGGTTCGATCCCTGGCGCGAGCCACATAAAAAAATTAAGTTTATTTTTACCAGCGGTCGCCGCCCCTCGGCAGACAATGGCAAACCTACGAGCGTATTACTGTCATGAAAAAGCTTCTCAGAGAACCCATTTGCCGTTCGGAGTTGGCGTAAAACCGTAAGTCACTCATTTTTGTGTGACAACATCAAGGCGCACACCACGCATTGGAGGAGGAGAAGTTCGGCCAAACACCAAAGCGTAAGCGCTAAATATTTATTTATTTTAAAGCGCCTAAGCCAAAGAAATAGTATATAAAATAAATTAATGTTTACGAGTACATTAGAAGCAAATTCTCGGCACTTATTGTTAGTATAAGTTGCTAGATTGTGTGGTGTGTATCTATAATACATACATACATACATACATACATACACACACCGTAAAAATTACTTTGTAACCGTGTGCCACGATATCGAGAAAATACACATTTTTCTTCACACTCAGGTGAAATGTGTGGAAAATGTTTATGAAAAAATCCAAAATTTTCGTCGCTAAAAATATCGAATACTTGTTTGCATTTGTGTTGGTCGCCCAAGCAGAATGACCAGTGGTTTTTATTTACTCGCGCTCCGAATCGATTGCTTGTGTATGTATGCAGGTGTACCACACATTTATGTACATATATATATATATCGTCGTTTAAAGTACAAAAACGCCTAACTGACATTTGCTGCCACAAATCGGATTTGCTCACACAAGCTCTTGGCTCAATCCTTATCCATTCGTCCTGAAATAGGCTAGCCAGAAAGGCGATTGCTTTATAAAAAAAGAAAACCATTTTGAAATATGAGTGTTTTTGCTATATCCAGTAAATAATTTATGCAACCTCACATACGCGGTTTTGCATTTTGTTGATACGCGGTTTTGTACTTTAAACGACGATATGTATATATACATAGATATACATACATATGCAATCACATGATTGAGTTAATTTTTCCTTTGCTCTAAAGAATATGCGAAAGAAAATTTTAATTCCTTGCGTTTATGTGGAAATTTGAGTGAAAATTTGGCTGCCAAGTTTTTCATGTAAAAAATGTGTATTTTTGCATATGTATGTGAGTATATATAAATGCATATATACATACGTATGTTTGTATGCATACGCATTTATTGTAGCAGATAATATTTTTTAATAATTATTTCTTCTTTATTTATTTACAATTATTTCAAATACTTCGAGCGCTTCCATAAGCAACGAACGAGGGCAATAGAAATCTTTAGTGGTAGACGTGCCGTGGGTTGTATACCTGATATTTTGTACTTATTTATATGTAAAACAGAGTAAATTATTTAGAAAACCCGATTTCAAATACATTTTGAGCACATTCATGGTGTGCCTGAAACAACTCCAAATAGTGAAATTTCCACTGTTGATTTTAAGCTCGAATTTTTTTCGAAAGTTTGTTGATTTTTTTTTAAATATTGCACAGAGATTGATACATGGATTTATGCCGTTTTTGGTAAATAATGAACAATATATTTTTTTTAATAATTAAACAAAGTGTAAAAACTTTGAGCTTTCTGTCTCCGTTTTGGAGTCGCCATATTAATATTTACATAAATGCAAAGATCTTTGAAAATACAAACTCCAGGGGCTAAACGAGTTAACATTCAAATTTTTCTTTGTTGTAGTTGGTGTTCGATCGACATGCTCCTAAATACCGCCATATTGAGCTTTGACATTGCTAGATCCAGATTTTAATAATTAAAAAAAAGTCCCTCTAGCTTTAAGTTATTTATAAATAGAAGCACTTTGGAGGGTATCGGAGGATGGAGACGATATCCGTTTTCCCAGGTGTAAATATTAGTGCAAAACTACATAGATATACCTATGTACATACTTGAGAACCCACATAGTAAGTATTTACTCTACGTTTTCCTACACGTTGCCACAAAAACTGCAATTACTCTCCGCAAAGAATCCCACTTTACGATGATAGTATCTTGGTATGTAGTGAAGGACTATCAGGTACCCAATAACAAGCTTTTCTTATAGGATTGAGTGGTCGCTCAGAGGCTACACGAAAGAAAGTTATGCATCTCTTGAATTTCTTTTTGCTTCTCGGCATATGCCATTGGGCTGCTTAGGGTGCACCCTGCATAAGAGCTCTGTCGTGCAATGTTTGGATGGACATCAGAAAGAGTGACAAACACCGTTCGGCTTAGAATTTTAGCACTTTCATTGCCAACAAACTTCTCTTGAAGAGGAACCAATCACAAGCCAACGTTTTTATGGGCTTCTAGTTTGTCCAGCACAGTCCAGCGCAGTTGTCTACTAGCTTTGATTATCGTTGTCTTGAGCTCCAAATGCTCAACGTTGCCCGGCTGTGCCACATGATCTTCATAGTGCTTCCACGACTATCATAGGGATTTAATCTATCATTGATAGTTGTGATCATCGCTTTACAAAAGGCCCTTTAACCGGTCAGGGATTAATAAAAGTAACAGTCTAATCTTCGATGAAGGGTCTAAAACACTCAGAGGGTTCCTGAAGTCTGCATATTTCCTTCTGATTAGGTTCGGTAGCCTGAGGATACTCCCGCAGGCTTCTTTTTCAATAAAACTGGCCAGATGCGTTATGGCTGTCAAGATTCAAAGCACATTTGTTGGCGATGTGCGTATGGCTTCCTTGGGTTTATTGGTGTAGGTGCGCTCCTCGGCAAAAGCCACAAGTGTCTGCAAGTTTTCGAGCCAGTTAGTTATACAATTTTCATAATCCTATCGTGTTGTACTCGCGGGTATTGCCGGTCTATACGCCTTTAGTAGATGATATAAGTTTTTCCCCGCTTTAGGTATGAAGATTATTTTTATTTTCTTTCCATTTCCTGTTATGGCTAATACGCTATGCTGCAGCAGGACTGTGGACTTGAGATACATTTTTATCATTTTCTAGATTTAACTAAGAAGTCTTTGTATTTACATACATACATATGTACTTTTTTTAAAACCCACTTTTTGTTATTAAAATAACGTAGAGCCATTGCGTACCATTCATCAAATTCAAATCCTCAACTTCTGGTCATTTGCCAGCGTACAGAAGCATAACCTTTCTGCAGATTTATGAATTTTTCAGAACATCGACTAAAAATAAATTCAAAATGCTACAACAACAACGAAAACCATTTCAGCAACAACAAGATTTCATATAGCATGCGTCCATGCAACCATTTCCTAGCGAATATTCGTATATCACACCCAACCAGACAGACGCCTCTACTCCTTGCCATCGCGGCAATCATCTGCCGCTTACGCTAATTACAGGTAAAAATCTCAATTGCTCAATATATGTAGTCCACGTCAAGATGACCGACTTGACCCGAGCGCATTAGCCACCAAAATACTCAATTCGTATGGCAAGTATGTACGTAAGCAGCTCGTGAAATGGAAAAACGAATAATTCGAAAATGGAATCGGCAACAACGACGATTCGAACAGTTTCCACGCTCGTCTTGCGCCCTGCGTCTACTCACTGCAATTAACACTTACAGAGGACAGCTGGTGTGAGTGGAGCGTGAAAAATTCAATAAAAACACATACACGTACACACTTAATTTTCGTACGCCTAGTCCGTATTCAAAAAAGCTATGAGCAAGAAAATTGTCTGCCCAAGTGTGCCTGTAGAATGCCTAACGGTACACATAGTCCACTCAAATACGGCAACAAGAACAATCAGCAACACTTGGACACACACACACACACACACACACACACACACGTCCACAGATCGCCGACGAGAAATTCCCACTCGAAAATAATTGCAACGTCTCGTCGTCGTTGGGGTAGAAATAGACGAAAAGATCGGCTGCCAGCGCCAAATTTACGAAATACTCTTTATTCGAACGACACCGGGATCTCTTGTTCAGTAGATCACCAGCCTTTCTCCGACGTTTATTACGAATTATTCGGTGACTCGGTGACAACTACAACTTTTGTGTGTGGAGTGCGAAATAATTTCTGATTTAGTCTCACACCTACAAATTTTTGTTACTGGAGGATAACAACTGCATTGCAGGGAAATCGAAATTTTTCCACACAACAACAACCAGACACAAAACGCGGGCGCGAACGAAGTGTTCACCTGAGTGAAAAACTTAAAATAAATAATAATTTTCATTATTCATTAATTAATTTTATAAATTAAATTTACAAAAAAAAAAATAAAAAACAAAAAGTAAAATGTCCTCGTCGCAAGCAGTACGCTCATCGAAATACTCGTATAGGGCCACCTCAACTGGACCGAGTGGAGCTGATATATCCATTGAATACAGCTCTGATTTGGCCGCCCTCTCCCGTTTGGAGGTAAGACACGCGTCGAAAATGGAAAGGAATATAAGAAAACGAATAAAGAGACAAGTAAAAAAATAATGAATATTGGATTAATGAAAAATTAATTCAAACTCGAAAGCTTCAGCTAAACTGAAAATCTAAAATGTATAAAAAAAAAACACTTTCAAAACTCTTTAGAGCGAAATTTGTGCAAAAATGTTTTTGTAAATTCAAGTGTCCAACTGATCCTCGAGCCTTTCTTCGTACATTCGGCTATTTTCGGCCGGTGTGGTGTGAAAAGAAACCTGAAATTTAAAAATTTTGCTGCAAAGCAAAGCGAAAAATGTGCACGCGCGGATTTGTAGACTGAAAAAAATCGAACAAATATAAAAAGCTGCATATGTATTACTAAAATTATGTACTCTTAAATGTATATACATATGTACGCATATGCTAGACGAATTATGTAATAAAACGAAAAACGCCAAGCAGAGTCGCTGTGAAATATGTGCGCGTATATTTTTGGTACGCGAAAGAGTTAAAAAAAGACGCAGAACTTTGTATGTATGTATATATTTAGGTAGATGTACATAGATACATGTGGCTTATTTTAAAAAGTAGTACATAAAATACATCAAAAGGAAACTGGTGACTTGTGAAAAGGATAGGAAAAAAATATAGTTTGCATACATAACTGTTAAAATAATCAAAAACAAAGAAACCGAAAACAAAATTTTGTGTTAGTGTGCAAAAAATAAATTTCATAATTCACTACGCGCGCGCGTGTCAATTTTAAACAAAAAATAAAAAATAAATAAAAATATCCTTAATAATGTGAGCATTTCAAATTTCGCTTTACTTGCAGGATAAAATCCGTTTGCTCCAAGATGATCTTGAAGCCGAACGTGAATTGCGCCAAAGGGTGAGTATCGGGTGAGGGATGGGGAGTTACAAACGCATTTTAACATAGTCCTTTGCTTCGAAAATAACAGAAATTCACATTCACATCTTGTATGAAAATAGCGCATAGTTATGTGTTGCTTTTAAATTATGAATCTTCTTCAGCAATAATATATATTTACATATGAACCTAATGTTTTTGGGACTCCGGTATTCTAAGATCATCTATTATTTTAAACCTGGCTAGGTTAAGTTAAGCTATAATGGCCGCCCTCGACCACATCCTTTTTCAAACTTAAATCCGACAGATTTTAAAAAAAGTATTGATGAAGACATCGCCGGCTGAGTTAAGCTCAGGCAGGGCAACGACAGCGAAATTTTTTAACGTTCTCGATTTCTACGACGCATCGTCCTTACAATTTTGGCTGTAGTCGTTCCAAAAGAAGAACGGAGCTATATAGCTGTCATTATTCAATTCTGGGTGGATGCGTCTAGCTACTCAAGAAGTTGATTCTTCCAGGCATCTTTGTTGGCAGGGCACTCTTGTTTGCTCTAAGCCTCAATTTATATGATCCTAGCTGTATTCCTGGATCACCGGAGTTTTTTATGATTTAGCCTGGAGCCGTCGGTGTGGCATGAAGAAAGGAACGAAGGAAGTGCTAAGCACGATGCACTGAAACGCTCATTAATTGCTTGAGTTTGAATGAAGAAAATATAGACGATTAACAGGCAGGATTGCCATTCAGCCTTTCTCTCCGGTATATTTTGGATTGGTATGCAGTACCATCTGAGAGGAAATTGGTATAACTTCGAATAGACTACGAGAAAACTCTCAGCTGACTTAGATTTGAACAGTACCTGCGGACTGTGAACGAAATTTCCACATTAAATTTCCTCTAAAACTCAAATTTCTTGCCAAATTTCTTCTAAACGCCGCTACACTTTCACATTCGAAAACAATGAAGAATTTGCAAAACGCACAGCTGAAAAGTAAGCGAAAGTGGATTGCACATAAAAAGTGAATTGCAAGAAAACAGTTCGGCCACAAAATCGATGTGGAGCCACAAACACTTGGCTAATTATAAATTACCCTTGCGTGTCGCTGCGAGTGATAATGATGTGCATTGAACTTCAATCGCATCGGGCTCTGAATCGGCTGGGGACGTGGCAAGCGGGATGCGGGGTACATGGCATGCGACCGATAACGAGCGGAGATTTTGATTGAAAGCTACCAAATAGGCGCACGGCAGAAGCAACCGGCAGCAAAAATAAAGAAAACGAGCGCAAGTAAAAGAAGAAGTTACAAAAATGCCACAAACAAAGCGTACGATAACTAAAAAGTAAGGTGAAATTCAACAAAACATAGGTACATACATACATACATATATATATAACGACATACGAAAGTAAATGCAAATNGTGAGGAAAACGAGCGCAAGTAAAAGAAGAGAAGTTACAAAAATGCCACAAACAAAGCGTAGGATAACTAAAAAGTAAGGTGAAATTCAACAAAACATAGGCACATACATACATACATATATATATAACGACATACGAAAGTAAATGCAAATGGAAGAGGCGGCAGGCAATAAAATGTGTGCATGCAAAATATGCAGCAAAGCAGCTATGTACATACGCGCGATTCCCTGTTGCTCATACGCAACGTTGTACCCGCGCAGCCAAGGTGCCAAGGAGGAAGTCAGCGTTGGAATGCAACGCGAAGAAAAATTAGTTACACTGCGCCATGGATGCACTGAAGAATGGGAATGGGAATGGGAAGTGTTGCGTGGCGTGGCGTTGCGACAAATTTAGAAAACACTCCTGGCCCGGGTGAGCCCAAAATGCGGCAGACATCATTGCAGCCAAACAGGAATGCGAGCAATTTTCTTGATTTTATCATCGAAAAAGTTTTGAAATCTTAGCAAAGTTTCAATAAATCGACTTCGCTCATAAACAGCTGTTGTCAAGCCACCAAGCGCCACAGAGCAAAAAAAAAAATAAAATAAAAGGAAAAATAAAATAACTCACACACACACACACATACACACACCCAAATGAATCGCCTCCGCATGTGTTCGCAGCACTCGAAAACAGCACAAAATGGCCAGAGAATTATTCGAGAAGAGTGATGACGGCAAGCGGCGGCGAGTTGGCTAATTTTAGCAGCGACATTCAATACAAATGGTTAAAAATTTCACATAAATATACCGAATATTAGAAATAAGCACAAAAATCTTCTAGCATACACACACACACACACACAATGTTGCCTATAATGGAGGCTCACTAAAAAAAAAAACGAAAACATGTTTGTGTGTGATGTGTATGATTGTATGCAAGCAAGTGTGTCGAGGGTTATTAAATAATTTCGAAAATATTCTCAAAATCTTTTTGGACCAACGAGTAAATTCACAAAGGAAATTATTGAAAAAACAATGGAATTTAGGAGCAGCGAAGTCGCCGCGAGATTAGCAAGCAACACTGCGTATATGTATGTGTGTTTGTATGTAGTATGTGTTTGGGATTTCTGCTGTACTCATTTGCAAGAGTTTTCTACATACATACATACATACATACATACATATGCATACATATATTACTAAGCATTTTATGTTTGTGCATATTTTTTTCAGGCGAGCTGATTTTTTCTTTTCTTTTCTTTGTGTTGAACATCTGCATACACACATCTTGCTTGTCCACTTTAGTCATGCAGTTGTACAGAGACGTCAAAAAAAATGTCAAACAACATGCTGTTCGCCATCAAAGTGAAAAGCGACATTTGAAATTATTTGGCTTTTAAAATTTGTGCCGCAAAAAAATAAAAATAAAAATTTTCAATGTAGTTAAAGTAGTAGGAATCACTCAATCTCACAGAAAAGCATTACTTAAATATTTAAAAATGACTAATATACTTATACGAAGGATTTCTTAGTAATACTTAATGAGCAACAAATATCTACAATTCAGCATGTGATCATTTAAGATTTTGAAACCAACTAATAAAAGCCGGTTTAAATGACTAAAAAAATCACATTTGAATATAAACATCACCCGATCTCTTTTATGGTCGTTATTAAATGGCTTTATCTTATAAAAGACGTTTCGAAATTGAAATTAAGAGAGTGAGCTTCTAAAATTTTAATCAACGTCCGCATAAAAAAAATGTATTTCCATTTTTATTTGCATAGAATGGCAAAAATTTTGATTTAATTTGATTAATTGGTTCTTCCGGAAACATCAATCGAAAAACATCAATATTGAAATTCAATTTCAATTAAAAATTGCTCTCAACAAAAGCGCGATCTCCACTTTTTACTGTTTAATTCTATATATAAATTTCTTACAACTTATTTGTCATCGTCTGCATTTTACCGTTTATATTTTGCATCCATGAAATTCAATTATAAATGTCAACTTCCGTATGATCAAAAATGTCCACATTTGAAAAGTTTAAAAATGTAAGCCCAATTTTTAATAACAAAACCCACTATTTTAAATTATCAAAAATACATACATACATACTTATATGCCCACTTTTTAAGCAACCAATAACTTATGTCGAGTTTTGAAAAGTACCGTTTTTAATTTACCAGAAATCTATGCAGACCGAATTTTTTAAATACAGAACCCCAAAATTTATTTCCAATTTCGAAATGACCACAAAAATATTTTAAGTTGATAAACTATCAAAATTGTATGGTCAGTTTTAAAATGACCAAAAATTTATGTCCAAATTTTACATGAACAAAAATTTATGTTCAATATTTAAATGACAAAAACCTTTGGGAGCACTTTTTAAATGGCCAAAACTGTATGCATATTTTTCATATGACCAATAATATATGTCCAGATTTTAAATTACCAATAATTTTTTTCCAGGTTTTAAATTTTAAAAAACTGGTTTTGCATACAATTAAAAATATTTTAAACTATCAAAAATGTATGTCCATTTTTTAAATTATTAAAAATATAGATATGCCAGATTTTAAAATTAGCAAAAATTAATTAATTCATAGAAAACTATTTTCATGCTTACATATATGTACATACATAGATATGCACATACATACATATATTTAACTAACTTTATGTATGTACAAAACTACATATTTTTTCTTGCACATAAGTAGATAGGCACTGGTCGTTAATGGGTTAGAGACTGGTACATATGAATGAATGATTAAAGTAATTTCAAACAATATCATCATCATCATCCAATATACAAACCGCGGGATCTTCATTTTATTGGTCGTGTTATTTCTTTCGCGCTGATGAACATTTGAAGATCTAGAAATCTTTTGTTTTTACGTACACACAAATCCTTTTTCAATAGGGGTATTCACTATCCGGTGCATACTGTTTATCATGGTGCACAAATAGCATAGATAGCTGATTGGATAATTTTGTTGCTGTTTCATGTGTTCAAAGAACAACAAAATTAGCCAATCATGCTCTTTATGATATCTATGCCCCATGCTAGACAGTATGGACCGGATCGTGAATACCCCTAATAATTCATTTTTCAACTATGTATTTATGTAGCACAATTCCTCATGAGGTCAATTGAAAACCACTCAGCTTACCTTATATTTGTATGTGTATATGTATGTAAGCGTGTACATAATTATGTAAATACATATATGAATTTCATATGTACATATGTTTGTATTAGACGCACCGCTTGACCGCATACTCGCTGTCAACTTTTATAAGATGATTCGGCGGCACACACGCAATCGGCTTGCAGGCGTCCATGATCATCGACTTTCATACATCACAGTATCTTTGTGAGTGTGTGTCTTTCCGTGACTCACAGCCATGTTTGTGTCCATGTGTCATTAGATTATTTTTGAAAAACATTTAAATACATTTTCCGTTGTTTAGATTCTTGAGAAACATCGATTGCTACCCAATCCCTCTGCCTTGGTCTTTCAATTTCACCGGCCATTAGAATTTTTATTCTTCCCAGAAATTGATGTTTATGCAATGAATACCTTATAAATTCGCGCTGGATCACACTTT